AATGTAAGTTAACTCATCGTCATTACTATGTAGCCCTCCCTTGTTGGTGTCTAAACTAAGGAACTCAAGGTGTGTAGGAGGGAGAGAAAGGTTGAAGAACTACAAACTTAACAAAAGTAACCCTTTTCTGAATCATGTCCATGAACTATCTACCTTTTTCAGTAAGAAATAAGTGCTCAGTCCAGGGTATGGCCACACAATCCCCAATTGGTAATTCCTTTTCTTCTTGCCTTCAACACTTTTTTTTTTTAACTACCGATTCTGTGGGCGTGGCTTGGTGGGCATGGCAAGGGAAGGATACTGCAAAATCCCCATTCCCTCACCACTCCAGGGGAAGGATATTGCAAAATCTCCATTCCCACCCCACTCTGGGATCAGCCAGAGGTGGTATTTCCTGGTTCTCCAAACTGCTCAAAATTTCCGCTACTGGTTCTCCAGGACCTGTCAGAACCTGCTGGATTTTGCCCCTGACCTCAGCGCAATTCAGACACACCGCAATGCAGAGAAGGATGAATCGCTGTAAGTATAAGGACCTTTTCTGATATTTGGCCCACATGTGCTAGCCAGCAACAACACACACACATATACAATTAAGAATTGTTTTGGCTAAATATGTTTTATTCTATATCAATGGGCTTCATGGTTTCAAGACAGAGAGATTAAAGGTTTTACTTGGCCCTTGAATGGTTAGCATGTGTTCAGAAAACAGGGTAAGGCCTGATAAAAAAACCAATTTGATTTAATTCCATTGGGAATATAATTAGAATTAAATTAATTAACTATAATTCTTACTAATGCTACTTGTGTAATTATTAATTTCTTCTCCTGTCACATTAAAAATGCAGTTGGCAACATTCTGGGGGAAGGTTGAATGGTATATAGGGGACATGCAGTGGTGGGATTCAGCCAGTTCGCACCACTTCGGGAGAACCAGTTGTTAACTTTCTGAGCAGTTTGGCAAACTGGTTGTTGGAAGAAATAATTAGGGCAGAGAACCGGTTGTTAAATTACTTGAATCCCACCACTGGGGACATCTAAAACTTTGGAGGATTGCATGAAGTTTTGGAGACTCGGGTTGTGTATCTCTGCTATACACATAACAGTCTTCAACCACACAGTTATCAAATAAGAGCTATTTAGGAGGGTTAGGGTTCAAGTCTATCTAGATCATGGATGTCAAACTCGCTGCATCATATTGCTGTCACGTGATGTTTCGTGATGTTTTTCCCCTTCGTGGGGCTGGAGTGGGTGTGGCCTGCATGTGACTCATCTGGTCTGTGGGCTGCCAGTTTGACATCCCTGATAGATCCTTTCAAACCTTGATTCTATCTTCTGAGGTATTAACTAGTTTTGTGTCATCAGCAAATTGGATGAGCATCCCTTCTACACCCTCATCTAAGTCTTTTGTGAAAATGTGGAAGAGTACAGGACCAAGGACCAAATCCTGAATTGACCAATGGCATATCTCTGTCCCCATAGACATAGACAACCCAGTGAGTTTGAGAATCAAATAGAGGCATAAGCCAAACGATTCCCAATCCCTGAAGTCTAATCAGTACCATGTTTGGCATCAAATCAAGTGCCTAAAAATTCCTTTTTATTTCTACATAGGGGTGAAGAACAACTCCAAAGAATTTGCCCATGTTGACCCTCGTGACTTTTGGCCCCAGTAGCTATTAGATTATGCACTGACCTCAGTTACTATTTTCCTGACCGATAAAACATGAGAAGTTCTGCAAACACTAGAAAAAAAAACCCAAATTGCTAATGCTGAAAGTGATATTGTCCCAATTTACACAATACTATGATTCCTGTCAGCCACAGAAGAAAGAGAAGGCTAGGAATTAGGATGACAAGTATGACAGCTAATCAACAGTGTCATTCTGCCGATCTTTTCAGAACTCAAATCGAGCTCCAAATAAAAGGAAAACTGAATGACAAAGAACTTTCCTTAGATGTTTGCAAGTTTCTCTTTCAGTAAAGAATAAGTGCTCAGTCCAGGGTATGGCCATACAATCCCCAATTGCTAATTCCTTTACTTCTTGCCTTCAAGGATTTGCCTTTTATTTTTAAGGATTATTCCTTCCTCACTACTCCCTGCAACTTCCCTCTACCTTCCCAGATTTTTGCACCCTCAGTTCTTTCCCAGAAAGAGTCCCAGCTCTTTCCCTCTACTTTCCCAGATGTTTTCATCCTCCCTTCCCAAATTTTCTCCTTTGAATCCTCCTTTCCCTTTGTTGTACCATTGTTGCTTTGATGACTCAATGGTCAAAGCAGGGGTGAAATCCAGCAGGTTCTGACAGGTAGTGGAAATTTTGAGTAGTTCGGAGAACCGGCAAATGCCACCTCTGGCTGGCCCAGGAGTGGGGTGGAAATGGAGATTTTGCAATATCCTTCCCCCAGGAGTAGGGAGGGAATGGGGATTTTGCAGTATCCTTCCCCTGGAGTGGGGTGGGAATGGAGATTTTGCAGTATCCTTCCCCTGCCATGCCCACTAAGCCACACCACACCCACCAAGCCATGCCCACAGAACCGGTAGCAAAAAAAATATTGAATTTCACCCCTGGATCAAAGGAAGAAATGGATGATTCCTTCATTCCAAACATGAATGCAAGAAGAAAAACGAATGGTTCAGAAGAAAGAAGGAGCAGTTGATGAAACTCCATAGCTTTGTGGCAACATGCCTACCTAAGAAGGTAAAGAGAGATTTAACAAAAGGAAGGAGAGATAGGAACTGTTGGACAGGATAGGAAAGAAAAGAGAGTTTGTCTATGGAGATTGCCAATCATTTGGATCATGGTTTCCCCGAAGGTGCTTTTCCAAAAGGCAACTGGATTTTGTTGTTTTTTTCCCCTTGAAAACATTTTGCTTCTCATCCAAGGAGCTTCTTCAGTTCAATTCTGAAGAAACATCTGGGATGAGAAGTGAAATGTTTTTTGAGGGGAGGGGGGACAAGGAAGTCTAGTTGCCTTTTGGAAAAGCCCTTTCTGACAAAGGAGTGTTTGTTTTATCCAACCTTGACTCAGTGTGCCCACTGAAAGATGTAAGATTTGAACACAGTTGTGTGAGCAGGAGAGCTGGGGAAAATAGGGCAGCCAAGAGATTTTACCCCATTTTTATGGGTCATTGTTAGACCAATTTTTAGGAGCAAAAAGGAAGCTGTCTACCAATTAAGGAGACCAGGAGCTCAGGATGAATGATTTGTATAGGCCAATCACCAGGTGCTAGAGAGGATGGAGCATGTGAGATGCTACAGCTATTTAGAGCTGAGGATGTTATTGGACTGGAATGGAGCTAGATCAATTCAACACTTTCAGAAATGAACAAAACTGCAGCTACTGTTTGTGTAAATGTGTATTCTGTATGAGTGCTATTGGGAGCCTTTTTTCTGTAGAAACCATAGCCTATTCACAGTCGATTAAGTTTAGTATTATCTAGCTCAGCAGTCCACAACCTTTCCAGATTTGCGAACTGGCAGTGGTGGGCAGCGGCGATGGTGAGGAGGGGATGATTTTGCAGTGTGTAATCTAATCTAATATGTGGTGACTCAATGGCTAAGATGCTGAGCTTGTTGATCGAAAGGTCGGCAGTTCAGCGGTTCAAATCCCTAGTGCCACGTAACAGGGTGAGCTCTTTTTTACTTGTCCCAGCTTCTGCCAACCTAGCAGTTTGAAAGCAAGTAGAAGAATAGGGACTATCTTTGGTGGGAAGGTAACAGCATTCTGTGCGCCTTTGGCATTTAGTCATGCTGGCCACATGACCATGGAGATGTCTTTGGACAGCGCTGGCTCTTCGGCTTTGAAACGGAGATGAGCACTGCCCCCTAGAGTCGAGAATGACTAACACATATGTGCGAGGGGAACCTTTACCTTTATAATCTAATCTATGACATGCACAGATGGAGCTTTGCATACTCACCTACCACTTGTGCAGCCCGGTTTTTAACAGGCCACGGACCAGTACCGGACTGTGGACCAGGGTTTAGGGATCCCTGATCTATCTGGACTAATGGGGGCATATCATATGTTTGATAAGGAACTTAGTTAATTAGTTAGTTGTGCTAAGTCAGGGTAGTCAAATTTATGGCCCGCAGGCCGGATGCATCATGAGCTGGCCACGCCCAGCCCTGGTTTAGCGAAGGGGGGAAGTCGTGATACATCACATGACGACAACGTGACGCCGCAAGTTTGACACCTCTGTGTTAAGCAGAGGAGGCCGAAAATATGAAATATCATCCTGATGTTCTAATGTTGAATCTGTGATGAAACACAAATTGAACAGCCCTGCTTCTAAAGAATTTTCAGCTCCATTACAAAATTGGGATTCCTGGCATGCTCTCATAGAAATGAAACCATCAGCCAAAGAAACGTCAATATTATTAGAGACGGGGCGGGGTGGGGGGAAATTCATATATCATCTGCGTATTCAATATTGGCTAATTTTTGTTAGCCAACAGTAAGTATATTCTCTCCTAACCACAGGCTTATATTAGTCATGATGCAAACTTACTGCCATGTTCCTATTCCTGGTCTTTTCTTATCATTTTTCTCAACATTTTATTACAATAATTTCCATCATTATATTGTTTGGATTATCATCATTTGTATTGGTGGCTTAGCTATTTTTTCATTTCCTCTATTTTGTTCTGTCTCTCGTCTCTCTCAAGGGATGCTCTTAGGTGCTCATGGAATCAGGGGGAAGTTTTAGAGCTATTAATACCTTTTCTTCTTGTGCAAACCCTCCACCCCAATCTCCCACTGCTTCAGCATTTTTCTTTCCGCAACTCTCTCATTTCACAATGACAGTTACAGTCTATTAGTTGCTGCAATCACTCCTATCCGTAAAACAATGCTGACTTAAACGTATAGACATGCCTTTACATAAGCACGATGGGTCAAAGAGAGTTAGAGAGAAATCATTGTGCAAATGACAAGAGTCACATTTCAGAATAAGGATTTTAGTATTTAGCTCTATCTCTTTATCCTTAATATTAAAGGGTATATTCACCAGCCCATGCTTAGACTTTTTTGGAGGAAGTACAAAAGGCAGTGTGCTAGGAATTTTTTTCTTTTCTTTTTTGCAAGTCTAGTAAAAATAAAATCCAGCCAATGGCAAGCGTTCTTGTAACAAAATGTATTTCCAGGAGATCCTGATAGGATTACAGTTTACAGTAAAACTTTGATCATGAACAACTTAAATAGCTTCATTGATGATGAATTCAAAGACAACAAAACATTCTCATTGTCAGATAAGATGACTTTTTCTGGACTCACACCATTTGAAATTAGTGGTAAAGTATTTTTACTATTTCATGATCATGTATCCTTAGATCAAAATATCTAAGAATAACTTATTAGTGATTGATTAATGAGACTTTGTCTTTTATAAGTTATATTATATTATATTAATATTATATTATATTATATTATATTATATTATATTATATTATATTATTATTATATTATATATATTATATATAGTATATATTATATATACTATATATATATAATTATATTATAAATAATATGCATTATTTTATGGCAGTAACATAAAAATATGGAAGGGTGACATGGAATTTCATGATCAAGACTATAATCCTAAATTTGGATTGTAATCTTGGTCATGACATATATGTGATGGGAATACAATGGTTTATGTCTATGCAAATACTTGTATATATGCATAAGTGCCTGTAGGAATTCTCAATCATCCAGGTCATGATAATGTCCCCAAGGTGTTTTTCCAAAAGGAAACTGGACTTTCTTGTTGTTGTTGTTGTTTTCCTTGAAAACATTTTGCTTCTCATCAAAGAATCAGAATTGAAGAAGCTTCTTGGATGAGAAGCAAAAACTCTTCAAAGAAAAAGAAACCCAAGGAAGTCCAGTAGCCGTTTGGAAAAGTACCATTGGGATATGCATAAGTGGTTTCTAAGGCAGACTACTCATTCAGTAGCATGGAAGTTTGAAGAGCACATACACGGATGAATACTTTTTCTCCAGAATTTAGCTGAGGAACCAGAAACCAGAAACCAAGCAGAATAGGTCCTGGTTATGATTTAGATTGGGATCACTGAGATGTTCAGAGCTAATGAGTAGAATAAGCGATAAAAATATATCCTGGAAGAAAGCAATGGCAAACCACTTTTGCACATTGCCATACAGGGAAATCCAGGAGGAGGCAAAAAAGTCAAAATGGGGATTGTGTTTGCATTATTGAAATTCCATCCTTTGGTATGTGCCTGGAGACAACATGCATATGCATAACAGTGGGGCTGTTATGCATAATTGCAGCCATCAACCTGACCTTTTTTTTTTTTTTTTGACATACATATGTACCTCGGACACCATGTTGACAAGAAAATTTCATAGATGGAATCACTGGAACTGAATCATTGTTACCTTTTCAGTTCTGTACATTTCACTAAGAAAAGAAACAAATGAAATGTGCTTTTGAACTATCTCGTTTGCTAAAAGATATTCCTAGTTAGAGAAATCAGCAGAAGTCTCATTATATATTAATCAAGGATGGATTTAAAGTTGCCTTTCACAATGTGCTGTGACACACTAAGTGCTATTTTTCACACGGGCAAGGTTTTCATTACAACTATTTGTAAAAAATGAAGGTAAAGGTTCCCCTCGCACATATGTGCTAGTCATTCCCGACTCCGTTTCAAAGCCGAAGAGCCAGCACTGTCCTAAGACGTCTCCTTGGTCATGTGGCTGGCATGAAGAGCTTTGTGGGGAAATACACATAACTTTTATTGATGGGGATTGTTGTCCCTTAAAAGTGAGATTGTGTCAATGGGACTTTTCAAATGGACATTGGAGCAAGAACGGATTTCCTCAGAATTGTTCAGCATGCACCTATATCAAGTTTGTAAGATTTTTCAACATTTATTCAACTGGCTGTTGTCACAGATTACATCGAAATACCTTAAGAAGCAAAATTATATTGCTTAGTTGGTTTTATTTTTGTATTGATTGACCTGTATGTCACTGACTTTTACAAAATTTACAGTAAAAGATAGTGAAAATTAGTACTAAGGTGTGGGTTCTTGGGAGACTGTCATTTGTTGATTGTAGTTCTCAGTAGATGTCTTTAGAAATTTGAATGATCAAATATACTTCCAAATAAGCTTGCATAGTTTACACTTACACCGCCTTTTGTCTAGAAATTAGGCAATTAACTCTCTGTTAAACATACCAATAAAGCAGGGGTGGGCAACTGTGGCCCTTTTACAACCTGTGGACTTCAATTCCCAGAATTCCCGAGACAGCCAAGCTGTCCCCTGCAATAAAGGATAACCTGTTTTAATCCTGCTATTCAATTGGATCCATGTTTTATAAAACTTTGGGTAGAAGATTATTATGACCTGAAACTATCATTATTTGACCAGTAATGGTAGTTTCAGTCACTTGTAGAGCCAAATGATGGACTTACATTACGCTTTATATTTTGTTTTTCCCCAAATTTTAGAACCAAACAACAAGAAAAAGACTTGCCGATGCTGCATTTGGTCTCTACTTATAATATATTTGGTTATACTCACAGGAGGCATGGGACTGTTGGCTTATAAAGGTAACCTGTATTAAATGTAATTTAGTTTTTTTTTAATCAAAAGATTAAAAACTGCCTGTTCTCACACTACTGATATTGGTAAATCTAGCTGAGTGAAATCCTTAGTTAACCTGCTGTCTTGGGTAGATACCCTCAGCAGCATTGAAGTATCAGTTCAATGTACTGTATGTTGTATGAAAGTCACAACTGGTGGTAAGGAGCATCATATTATGTCCCCCAAGCAGACAGATGTTTTGTGGTGTCCTCTTTAACTGATTGCTATATTTCAGATCCTGAAGGGTTTTTTCCCCCTATTGTTAACGATCTGAAAAGAATACAGAGTTAAAAAGGTAAAAAGAACCCACCCATCCTAAAAAATTCCAAAAAAAGTGAGAGCATTTCTAACTGGTACTTGAAAAATAAAAACAGTGCCAAAGATGATTCCCAGTATTCACTAAATAACCTTCAGACCTTTAGTTTCTCAACTTTAGTTTTCCAGATGCTTTTGTCTTCAGCCACATGTGAGACTGATTAGTCATCCTGGGTTTTCTCATCACAATCTGGGTAGCTCTTTACAATGCTTTTTATCTTGTCAGACAATATTGAATGTAAAAACAGCAGCAACACAACAATAGGAAACCATTCTGTAGTCTAGATTAAATTGCAGAAGTATGCTCGGGACAGAAGAAGCTAAAAGCTAAAAGTGCCGCTTGATTCCAAGAATTCCTGAGCCTTTAGCTGGTGAATTATGACCAACAAGTGGGGCACACCTGGACAGAAAATGTGGTACCACCACTTTTCTTTTGATTGGTTGGTTTGTTGATTGATTGATTAATTGATTGATTGATTGATTATGTGCCATCAAGTTGTTTTCTACTCCTGGCAACCACATAGTTTTTCTCTATTTTTCTTTTAGCCTACATTTAAAAAAGAGAGAGAGAAGGAAAAGGAAGTGGGACATTAAAGCATAGAAAAGTCAGGGAGAAAGGAGATGGGAACATCATACTAGAAAAATGGATGATAAATGCACACCAAGACAGAGTAAGACAGTAAATACAGGGATTGTAGGTCAAGGTTAAAGGTCCTTGTGAGACTGCAAAGATTAAAGGCAGCATATTGGATCTTGTAAATGTTCTTAGCTTTCTGGCTAATAATGATGATCTCCATTCCACATCTGCATCACTTGTTTTCTTAGTACTTAATAGTTCACAGCTGAAGCCAGGAATGTTTATATTGGATGCAGCAGGTAGCAGAAGCCACGATCTTGTGGCCATTCCACCATCAGTGATGGTACTATATGAACTTATCCAATGATTGTATACGGCTGATAACAAATGTGCCTCCTATATGAGCTGGAAATGCTGGTGGGTAAACAAATGTTGGTCATGTTCTTGTGATTGCCATTCTTTAAATGTTATCCTACCTCTTCTCAGTATAGAGAACATGTGCTAGAACATGAAACGAGGTTTTAGTGCATTTAAATTGCGTTGAAAGAAGGGCATGGAAGTTCTGCTGGTGGGGCTAATTCAATCATACCATGTTTCCCTGAAAATAAGACCCTGTCTTATATTTTTTTGAACCCTGAAATAAGCGCTTGGCCTTATTGCCATGCGCTCAAAATCCCGATTGGGCTTATTATCAGGAGATGTCTTATTTTGGGGGAAACAGGGTAGGTAGAAGTTACCCTCTAATGTTGCAATGATCACCAGATTGGAAAATCTTCCACTTCCACTCAATTTCTTTGAAGAAATTTTGTTGTTGTTGTTGTTCAGCCACTAAGTTGTGTCTGACTCTTTGTGATCCCATGGACTGCAGCATGCCAAGCACATCTGTTTTCCATTGTCTCCCTGAGTCTGCCCAAGCTCATGTCCACTGTGCTGATGACACTGTCTAATCAGAAGAAACATTAGGGAACACCTATCCCAATAAATGAAGTCTCTGGTCAGCCCCTGTCCCTTTGGAAATGAACATATCATGTCCAAAGAGAATGTCCATAGATAATGTTTTCTTGCTTCGGCAATACCACTGTTCCCATTTTTAAACATCAGATTAAATTGTATTGCATAAAGCAATATATTTCCTCCAAACACTAACTTTGAAGTAGCAAATAGTTACCTATTAATTAAAGTAAAATAATAAAACATGAATATTGAAAAGGCAACGGGCTAATTGAATCTGAATTTTGTATCATTCATGTCATAGAAATGTGAAAGAGTCAGTAGGATCCTGCTACAATAATTGATTTGGTGTGTTTTATATAACACTAGCTGGACGCCCGTGCTTCACAACAAAACTATGTCATCGGGCATGATAAATTGACACTTAAAGCCTAAAACTTAATGTAGAATGTCTAACTCCATAGCATCAGAGGAGTTTAATATAAGGCAACTGGCAGTTGGAACAGGTGGGGAGCGGTAGTAGAACGTCTAACTCCTTAGCAAAAGAGCATGTGAATATAATACTGTATACGAAATACTAATGATCTGATGGTCATTTCAAAAAATCCTTTCTTAGCGAGCACCTAGAAGCCAAGAGGAACATACATACCAAATTTCAAGTTTGTAGGCTTTACCATTCTGGAGTTTTCGTGATGAGTGAGTGGTATTTGGCTTTTATATATATATATAGATTAACAATAGCAATAGATCTGTGATTTGGCCAGGTATGACATCGAAGGACACGTCCTGGTGAGAGTTTTCACAAATTGTGATTATTTCTACAACTTCAAGAGAACATTCAAGGCTGAGAATAAGGCTCCCTGACAAAATAATAGGATTTGGTTAAAACAGGAAAATTCTTCACCTAATTTTACATTCTCCCAGGGCTATGTAGAAAAATGAAAATCAATTTTGAAAATTAGCACAGTTGGGTAATGGTGAATAAAGTTTGGCTATTTCATTACTTTCTGTTCAATTTTTCTTAGTCTCTACGATGCACAAAATTATAAATAGCATGCAAGACGGCAGAACAGCAAAATCAGTGTATCATCTTGCCAATGCCTCCATTGAAATCAATCCTCAGAGTGGTCAAGAAAACTGGATCCACAATTTAAAACAAGAATTTTATGTAATCAAATTGAGCAACCAACATTTACAATGGGAAATGGCGAACATTACAGGTATATCCTAGCTTCGTGTAATCTGAATGCAGTTTTATTTTGTTTTGTCCATCTTCCTACTGTGCATATTAAGTATTTTGAATCAGTAATGGGTTTCAAATCCCGGGGCTACCGGTTCACTATCGGTAGTGTGCGGGTGCGTGTGGTCGCTTTGCGATCGCATGGCGCTTTTGTGCATGTGCAGAAGCCTCTGCACATGTGCAGAGCATTTTTGATGACATCTGGGTGGGTGGGCGGAGCCTCATGCCACCACCGTTAATGGTTCGCCTGAACGGGGGAGAACCAGGAGCAACCCACCACTGTTCTGAATGCTGTATACAAAATGGAATGGATTTCTTTGTTCAAATGCCACATTTATAATTCAGGGGACATTTCTGCTCTTGGAGTTCATCGACAAGAGCTTGAATATAAAAAATTAAATTTGATCCATTAAGTCATTAGAATCAAATTCTGTATAGGCTTTTTTTCTCTGAAGCAAATGTACAATTATCTTAATCTCAAAGGTTCCTGATCAAGACCTTTCCAACACTCCCAATTTATGCTGAAGATAACCAGAGTATGTACATAAAAGTATTTATCATTTGCTAGTGATCATGTTGCATCTGCCTCTGTGTATATTATGATATAACCTATATGGGGATGGGTGGGTGGGTGGGTGGGTGGGTGGGTGGAAGGAAGGAAAGAAAGAAAGAAAGAAAGAAAGAAAGAAAGAAAGAAAGAAAGAAAGAAAGAAAGAAAGATCCAATTTGGCACTTTCATCATTTTGATGTAGGTGCTATGATGTTGTAATGATATGTGGGAAAGACCTTGGGAGGTGGAGCAAAGAGATGTTGTCTAGGGATAAGAGACAGCATAACCTGCAGCTGGATAGTGGGTGAGGCAAGAGACTCAGAAAGGATCATCCATAGTTTTAGTTTCTCAGGCTGTAAAGGAAACAACAGGAGAATTCTACTTTCAGATTGTGTAGCTTTACAATAAAGTAAAATTGGATTATCTGGTCATGTTTCCTGTCTGGTCAATCAGGCTGACAGATGTATCATTGATCTGGGGCATTCTGTTGGATTATGATCCAGGTTGGATTAAATAGCAGGTAAAGTCAGTCACAAAGCAACATTCAGAAAACTGTTTGAAGCATGTCTATTGCTATTGCTGCCACCCACAGCTCTACAAGGTCACCAGAATAATCACATTAACATGCACTAGCCCACCCAGTACTACTGTTCAGGATTGGGTATCAGCCCTTTCAATCACCTTAGCAAAGACCAGAAATACTTTTTATACTGATTATATTCCTACTTGTCTGTATTTCATTAGTGCATTTGTTTCTTCTCCATGTAGACTTGTAGCTTGATGAGAGGTGTTGAACCTATTAGAGTCTGCAGTAATTGGGTGGAAATCTCTTGATCTGGTTATAAATACCCAAGAAGGCCCTTCTGTACACCTTGGAAATGTCTTGGCCAATAAAGTGATGGAATGGTTTGGAATGAAACTGAAATAAGGAAATTTGAAAGAAAGAGTTAATCATTTTGCATGATGGAAATGATACTGAGTGGAATTCAAACAAATGATCTAAATGTTCATACTGTACTGTAATTCATGAAAACAAAATGAGGGAAAGGAGGTCATAAATCCCACGGGAATGTTGAAAATGGTAACAATGCAGGTATACATAATGTAACTGGAGAAATGTTAAAATAGGGTTTACATCTGGAGTAGCTGTGCAGCTTGTTTAATAAACGTGTGAAAACGGATTGGTTTTAGTTACAGACTTATGCTATTTCCAACAGATGTCAATATCTTTTTCAGATCAAATTAAAAGTAACATGACTCAAGGAATTGCAGGACCTCCTGGTGAGTAACTCTAGTATGATCTTCTAATCACTTTCTATTCTTTCATTTATTGCTCCAACTTAACTGAGGGATATTTGCTTGCTTGTTTTCTTGCAGACATTACATTATTCCAACTAAATAAACTAAGGCAACATTAGAGAACACCAAGCACCTTTCATTTCAACCCTGAGCTACAAATATTTTTCTTTATTGGGTCCAACTTAATTCCTGTAAAGTATCTGAATGTGATATTCTATAAAAAGCAAATGTCATACATATCTGAGTTCTAGCACACAAAGTAGGCAAGAATAGCTGCTCTAAACTTCTACAGCATTCATTCGAAGCATGGTTATCAAATTGTTCATTTTTGTCTTACCGGATTCAACAACAATGTGTGAGAATGTGCCTGTTGAACACCATTGGTGGATGGTTCCACAGAAATTAGCAATAATCTGTATTTGTGCATTATTTGTAAAAGGAACAGGAGAACTAATCCTATTATCCAATTTTCAGGGATGGAATATACATGCATGTTTTTAAAAATGTATTTGAAAATGGATAGGTTAATGGAAATAATGTAAAAAGAAAAAGCCAACTAGGAATATTAAAGAAATCATATTAAGGAAGTTTCCAAAAATACCTGTTAAGCGAAATATATATTCTGGGAGAAATGTGCAAGAAAATGCACATGAATTTTCATGTGGATTAAAGAAGAGAAAAGCAGTTAGATGCAGAAATCGGCTGGAACAAATGTAAGGAATGAAAGGAGAAAGATTAGATGCAGTAAGTAATCAGAACTGACAGATTCACCTATCCCTGATGCAAATAGGCTGGATTGGATAGCTGGACACTTGAGTAGATAGATCCCATGATTATGTATACAAAGTTCAAGAGCAGACAATTTCTGTACATGTAGGCACTTCAGATCTCCTGCCAGATGAATACATGGAAGAAGATTAGGGGCAATGGCTACACATTCCCTTCATTCAAAAACACATATTCTCTGAATTTTTCCCATAATTCACCTCCAGTGATGAAAATACTCTTACTAATAAATTCGTATGCCAGTTATAGTAACATATAAATTTAATGGCCCTTTAGACTGGTTTCTGCTGCTGATTTTGTGTGTGTGTGTGTGTGTGTGTGTGTGTGTGTGTGTGTGTGTGAGAGAGAGAGAGAGAGAGAGAGAGAGAGAGAGAGGGAGGGAGAGAATAGCAATTTTGAAGACCAGAATAAAAATAAGAATCTTCTTTTTTTCATAATCAGGTCCCAAAGGAGAAACGGGAATTCCAGGAAGAAAAGGTGACCAAGGTAATAAAGGTCACATTTTCAAATAGTCAATTTTGAATTTAGAGCATTGATCCAGTTCAAATGTAACAGCTCTGATCCTTTAATAAGCTACATGCCTATATACTTCATGTCCCTCTTACTTGGCCATCTTCCTGAGTAGGATATGAAGTCAGGAACAGTCATGTGTCTTTGTTAAACCTAACAAAATGGCTTCCTAAACTGAATTAATCATAGCCTGAACTGCACCTTGAATTGTCATTGCAAATTGCAAATGTAGCTAGGAAGTCAGATCTAACCTTTATAAATTCATTAATAGCAATAGCAGTTAGACTTATATACCGCTTCACGGTGCTTGACAGCCTTCTCTAAGTGGTTTACAGAGTCAGCATATTGCCCCCAACAATCTGGGTCCTCATTTTACCGACCTCGGAAGGATGGAAGTCAACCTTGAGTTGGTCAGGATCATATTCCAGGCAGTGGGCAGAGTTAGCCTGCAATACTGCATTCTAACCACTGTGCCACCAGGGCTCTTTAAAATAATGAATACCTGTTTCATTGCTGAAGTGCAGTCAATGTGAAATGAAATGGCCACTAAAATAGGCAGCCAATATGTAATTTTTATGAAACTGGCAGATTCAAGGGCTGAATTTGAATCATTTATGGCAAGTATATCATATAAAATCTGCTATAACCCCACAACTGTGGTATCTTTCAGGAGATAAAGGTGAAAAAGGAGACATTGGTTTAACAGGAATGAAAGGAAACCAGGGAACAAATGGTAAGCAAATAAAACCACAATCCCTATCTTCGAGCAGAGGACTGAGGGTGAGGTGATGCTATTACTGAATTTTGGATTTTTTAAACTGAGTGAGTCCCTCCCCCCCTTTTTTTTCAGGAATCGGACTTCCTGGACCCAAAGGAGAACCTGGTAATTCCTCAACTGCAGCCTGAGGCTCTATGCTGTGAAGACAAGAGGGGTGTTATCCAATCCATATGAACCATTTAATTTCTTTTGGCTGTTCCTGGGTTTCACCCTGAAGGACATCACTCTAGATTTTGGTGCTCAGGCCATGAGCCCACCTCAAGTACTCAAGCATCTTTGCTACTTTTTGCAGGAAGATGTCTCAAGAGAGACTCAAGAAGAATATTAGACAACAAAGCAGGCATTATGTGTGTGTGTGGGGGGGGAATAAACAGTGTATTGGTCTTCTGGAGTGGTGGGAAGAGATTAATTTTCATTAGAACCAGTTATTGCCTTATCTAGATTCCTGCATGCCAGGATATGGGGTACTGTACATTACAGCAAGTTCTCTATGCCTATATGGAATATTTATAGCCTTGTAGAATTGTACTATATTGTAGTACATTCTGCCGTGAATTTATTCTAAAATCAAAGGAAGGTGGAGGAACCCACTCCTTGGACCCTGAAATAATAAGAAAGGAAAGACTCTTTTGTCTCTTTTCTCAGGCTGTGGTCAAAAATTTTGATATTCTCCATTGATGATTTTGAAGTGGAGACCTCTGTTAAGCATAATACATCGTTTCTAAACCAGAATTCAAAATCTCTCTTAAACCTTTTCCGTCTGTGCTTTATTTCAGATCACAAAACTGAGATGGTTTTAAGTTGAGGACTATTTATATATATATACCTTTCTGCTAAACTGTAAATCCTATTGAGCTCAGTGATACTTAATCCCTAGTATATACAGAGAATAAGATTGCATTTTAATGTATCCTGTATATTTTTAGGAGTTCCAGGAATACAAGGATATGTTGGTTCCCCAGGAGAAAAGGGTGATACAGGTAATAAAGTAATCAGATGCTGAAATTCAAGTAAAGTTTAATTTCGTTGCCAATTCTTGTTTCACATTTATTTTTCTTTTCTCTATATTTTGTTTATAGGAGCCATGGGACCAATAGGGACAAAAGGAGAGCAAGGTTTACCAGGTAGTCTATTTCATGCTGGTGACTAGATTTGCCCCTTTAAACGTTTTTTTCTTAAAGTAATTCTCCTGAGAGATCCTTAAATATCACTTCTTTTGCACTTGAAAACTTCATTGGTCAGACCAGGGAAGTCCAGTCTAGCAACACACCAAAGCAAGTCAAAAGTTTATTATAAGACTACTGCAGCCCTGAGACTACAAATGTAGCTTGAATTGCAATAAGATTAAACCTCTTGACTTCAATACTGGACACTGAGTATGGTGGCTCAATTAAAAATAATTATTAAATGCACACATCTCTTTTATATCAGGTTTATCTGGACTAAATGGTGAAAAGGGATCAAAAGGGGATCTTGGGCCTGCCGGACTAAAAGGAGAACCAGGAATGAAAGGAGAAATGGGGGAGATGGGATCTCGTGGTAAGACGAATTATTATCATTTTGAAATGAGAAATATTTTCTTCCTGCCTATTCTTAATGCAATGCAATTCTGCTGGTGCTATGAGGAAGAGGTGAATGATAAAGTAGCCTGATTCTGTGGGGTTCTTAATAATAATAATAATTTTATTTCTAGAACTTGGTTTAGAGCTGTGGTGGCACAGTGGTTAGAATGCAGTACTGCAGGCTAGTTCTGCTGACTGCCGGCTGCCAGCAGTTAGGCAGTTTGCGTCTCATTGGCTCAAGGCTGACTCAGCCTTCCACCCTCCAGAGGTCAGTAAAATGAGGACCCAGATTGTTGGGGGCAATATGCTGACACTATAAAACCACTTAGAGAGGACTGTAAAGCATTGTGAAGTGATATATAAGTCTAAGAGCTATTGCTATTGCTATTGGTTGTTTGCCTGCAGGTATTTCATTACCCAACTGCTTGCCACTGATGCTGTTACCTAGTTGGGATATGAAACATCTGTAAGAAAACAGTCAAAATCAGAGAGCACCAAGGACCTCACAGTTCAACTCTGAGTTACAAATATTCTTGTCTATTGTCCGGAGTCTCTGAGCTATATCAGATACTTTGCAGGGTTGGCGGCTGTGTAAATTACAGTCTGGGGATAAAACAGAATGAATTCATCTATGTAGCATGGATTCCCGCCAGAAATGTATGATATTGCTTTTGTTACCTGAGTTTGCCCTCAGGAAATAGATTGTAAAGTTTAAGGCTACCAAATTTGGGTTGTAGATCTAGGCTATCACTAGATGGCAGAGTTTCTTGTATTTCTTTGCTGCCATCTATCATTTCTTTGCAACTGAAATCAGTAATGCCTAATTTCTTTTAGCTTCATTTTTAAAGGAAAAGTCACTTATTTATTTTTCTTATTACAATATGGATAGCTATTACATTAACATAATTCCGAGACACATTATACAGAAAGAAATCTACCAGGTAAATTAAATCGGGTACCATACATGTGAAAAGTTATCATATATAAGAAGTACTCCAATTATAATTATTATTAAGGTAAATCATAAAATCCAACCAATTTAATCAAATTATGGTACCTGCTTCTGAAATCTCATGACTTGTAGGAAAAAAAATCATAAAAATAAGTTTGCCTATGATTTTCTTTCCTAATAGCTTTTCCAAACTACATTAAAATTCTCCCCAACCCATTTTATGTATTTTATGTAATTTACTTATATGTCTCTCTACTTGACAAACACTTTATTTCCTATTCCACACTGTGTTCAATCATTTATCCAAATCCAACCAAACTAAACTCAAAACTCAACTCCCCCAGCTCACAGCTGTGACTATGGGTACTATCTTTTTTTTTTTTTTTTTTAAAGAAGAAGTTGCAAGCTAGATGTGTTGTAATTGTTAAAGCCTGAAGTAAAATACTTCTGTGACCCAAATTAGCACAATCTTTGTTAATGGAGTGCCTTCTAGATGGGTCGATGGCCTTTGTTTCTCATAATTCTCTAGCCAGTTTGGCATTCTGGTTGTGAGTTATTGAGGCTACCTTCTAAATCATGTAGAAACTCCAGATTGAGTAAAATCTGTCTTAATTCATCATTCACATGACAAATGATCTCAAGGGCCTGTTGACCCAGAAACAAACTATACAGCTTCATCATTAATAGAAAGAGCTAATTGATTAGACTGTGATTGTCCTCAGTGAAGCAGATATTAAGCAAATTAGTTGTGTTATGATGATGCTGCAACTGAAAACAAATCAGGGACTATACACACGAGAAAACTTCTGCCTTTACGCTTAGTGTGTTTAACTTGCTAAACAGGCTTACCAGGATCGAAAGGAGAAACTGGTGAAAGCGGAATCATGGGCCCAAGAGGATTAACTGGTCATACAGGAGAGAAGGGAGAGAAGGGAAATCAAGGTCAGGATGGTAAGTGAAAACAACCAAGTGCTATATTGAATGTCATATTTAGATCATGGAGGATAGTCAAGTATTCAATATATTTTCATAGTTAATGTGACATTTACTATTTTCAGAAGTAAATAGTGGGAACATGATATGGGTTAGTATTACGGTATCATTCAACCAGCAACTACTCAGACAACAAACAAACCATAGTCAGCCATATTTTAGCAGTTCCCTTTCTTTCTTACTGGAATCTTAGCAATCTTTACACTGTTTGACTAGTTGGTCCTTCCTGTTTTCTTTATTAATTTGGGTGGGGGGGAGGAATAAGAAAACATGGTGACATAACAGAGCAGAGACCTACAACACACGGAGTGGAGAAAACCCCAAATTTCACATCTTCCATAGGGAATGAAATAGAACTGGGAACAGCAGAGTTCGTCCGGCAGTTTGAGGTCATTCATTCCTCTTGTCTTTGTGTCTTGAGACTCAAAGGGAAATTTAGCTGTAGAGTAATAGATACCACATCTAAGTGAACAACATAGGACTATAGGTGAGATCTGTAAAACTACTACAAGCCATGGTTTTATAGGTTATGTTTAACCCATTTGTCTATAATCTGGGTCCCTACATCACATTAGATTTAACTAGTGGTGGGTTGCTCCCGGTTCGCACCGGTTCACAAGAACCAGTAGTAAAAATTTGTAGTAGTTCAGAGAACCGGTAATAATATTGGCTGGCCATGCCCCGGAACCAGTCCTGGCCTGATCACTGCTCGCTTACCCCGCCCACCTCATCAGAGGCTTTTTTTTTTTAACTTTTAAAAGCATTTTTTTCTATAACCTCTTCAGCCGAAAAAATGTTTTTAAAAGAAAAAAAAAGCCTCTGATGATCGCGCAGCTCAGCTGGGATCGTCAGAGGCTTTTAAAAGCATTTTTTCTACAACCTCTTCAGCCGAAGAGGTTGTAGGGGGAAAATGCCTTTAAAAGCCTCTAGCAATCCCAGCTGAATTGCCTGATCATCATAGGCTTTTAAAAGCATTTTTTTCTGCAACCTCTTAAGGTTGTAGAAAAAATGCTTTTAAAAGTAAAAAAAAAAAAGTTGTCCACGCCCACCCAGTCACATTAACCCCCACCAAGCCATGCCCACAAAATAAGCCACGCCCACAGAACCAGTAGTAAAAAAAAATTAAAACCCACCCCTGGATTTAACCATATCATGGCTTAGGGCAGGGGTCTTCAAACTTTGCAAATTTAAGACTTGTGGACTTCAACTCCCAGAATTCCTCAGCTAGTCATGCTGGCTGTGGAATTTTGGGAATTGAAGTCCCTAAGTCTTAAAGTTGCCAAGTTTGGAGAGCCCTGGCTTTGGGTATCATGCGAATCAGTTCATTGCCCTGCCTCTGAAATGCTAAGGAAAAATAGCTAGTCAGATATTCTCATTGTGAAGGAAGTAGTCTAAACAATCTTGTTCTGCTCCATGAATTCATTCCTCAGAATGCTATTAATATATCCAAAGTGTTGTCCTATTGACTACTAGGGGAACTAGTAGAGATAGCAGGTAATGGACTCTTTGTTCTTCTGAATGTCCCTACTTTGATTGTCCCTGATAGAGGACTGATGCTCTGAGGCTGTCCTTTTAGTCTACTACCTATAGGGGGAAAAAGAATAATTTCTTCTCATTTCTATCACTATGACATTAGAAAGCTCAGAGATGCAAGTTTATTTTTGGTGCCCTAAATATCAAGTGGAAGCCCAAATAATGTCAATAATGTACCATGAGGTCATCACATTAATAGTATACTGTACATTGCATTTGTTGTTGTTGTTATTATATTATGGTCTCCTGAGACATATGACATCATGCTCCTTGCCCATGACTGGATCTAGTAACTTTCTTAATCAACACTATTCTCACCCTTTGAGGCCTTAAGACTTATTAGCTTTGGTTCCACTCGGATATATATGAATTCTAAGTAAAGGTGAAATCTACTTACCTTCCTTACCGGTTCAGAAGCGCACGCACGTGCGTCATGTGCACACGCAGACCTTCTGTGCATATGCAAAACCTTCTGGACATGCACAGAAGCAGGGGTGGGTTTTACTTACCTTTACTACCGGTTCACAACGGGGCCGCAAACTACATCATACCGGCTCTATTGGATAGATGGAATACCACTTACACAGTGTTCAACTTTACCTGTCTCTACTCCCCTTACTTGTCCCAGCTTCTGCTAATCTAGCAGTTTGAAAGCACATAAAAATGCAAGTAGAAAAATAGGGACTACCTTTGGTGGGGAGGTAACAGCGTTCTGTGCGCCTTTCCTGTTTAGTCATGCTGGCCACATGATCACAGAGACGTCTTCGGACAGAGCTGGCTCTTCAGCTTTGAAACACCACCCCTAGAGTCAGGAACGACTAGCACATATGTGCGAGGGGAACCTTTATCTTACCTTACTCCTTAATTCAACCTTGGTGTCCTCCAGAGTTGTAGATTTCTTCAGTCCATTCTCAGCCAATCCTGAGGATTAAAGAAACATAGCACATCTGGGTTGGGGAAATCTCCCTTAAGTGGGCACTATTTTTCTTTTAAAAGGTATGAATAGAATATATATTATCATTGGGATAATTTATTCAAATATCATTTGCTGTCCTTTAGTTTCTGCCTTATGACTTTTCAATAATTGATTTTTTAAATTGTTTTTCTCCCACCAAGACCCATGATGATTTAATGTTTTTCATTAGTCTTCCACTCAAGGCATTAGTGCTACATTTGACATTCTAGAACTATAATCCAGTTGGTAGTTTTACTCATCCCTAAATATATTCCTGCAACCTCTCCTTCATGTAGAAGTTTCAAAGGGTATATTCTCCTATTCTCGTTTTTATGTTTATATTTTATATTTCACATTTTGAAACTTCCCATCTCCCTCAGAGAGGGACTCTGGATGGTGTACAATATAATGTATAAATTTAGAATCTAGAAGAAGGCATGGATGATTATAGGTAAAGGTAAAGGTTCCCCTCGCACATATGTACTAGTTGTTCCCAACTCCAGGGGGCAGTGCTCATCTTTGTTTAAAAGCCAAAGAGCCAGAGCTGTCCGAAGACGTCTCCGTGGTCATGTGGCTGGCATGACTAAACACCAAAGGTGCATGGAACACTGTTACCTTCCCACCAAAGGTGGTCCCTATTTTTCTACTTGCATTTTTTACGTGCTTTCACACTGCTAGGGTGGCAGAAGCTGGGACAAGTAATGGGAGCTCATCCCATTATGTGGCACTAGGGATTTGAACTCCTGAACTGTCGACCTTTCGATCGAGAAACTCAACATCTTAGCCACTGAGCCACTGTGTCATGGATGACTAAATGCTGTTGAAAATTACTTTAAATGGTGAAGGGAGGGTTGTCATGGCATTAATCAGCCCAGTGGTGGGTTGCCCCTGGTTCGCACCGGTTCTATAGAACTGGTACTAAAACCAGTGGGAGGCTCCACTCAGTGACCCTGACATCATCAAAACGCTTCTGCGCATGCGCAGAAGAGCGCAGAAGAGCCCATTGTGAACCGGTAGTAAAGGTAAGTAGAACCCACCCTTGAATCAGCCCCACAACTTTGCTCCTCTGGGCTCCCTACTCAAAACTGAAAAGCAGACAAGGCTCTCTTCTTAGACCCTGCCAGTCAGAATTCTTTAACAGATGGGGTCTGCAACATACCTTCTCTGCCTGACTACATGGTATGGGCCAAAGTATTCAGACGAAGATGGTTCCACAGGTAAACTGGTCCCATGTGGGGTTTACATAACCAACACCTTGAATTGGACCTGGGAGCAAACTGGTACCCAATGCAGTTCACAGAGCAAAGATGTTACATGTTTCAGATAGCCCCATATAGAGTGCATTGCAATAGTCTAGATGACCAAGGCATGAGTGACCAAGCAGAGGGTCTCACTATCCAGGGAAGGATATAACTGGTGCACAACACAAAGTTGAACAAAGGCCCTCCTAGCCATGGCTGCTATCTGCTCTTGGACCAGGAGCTATGAGTCCAGGAGGACCCCAGATTATGTACTGGGTCTGTCTGAAGACCAAAAATGATAAACGTCTGGATACAGAGCGGCCCATCCACTGACTTACCAGGGTACAGCTGAAGTCAGTTTTTCCTCATCCAGTCCCCACAGCTTCCAGGCACTATGAAAAAATGCCCACAGCATTACTTACTTTACCTGAAATGGAGATATATAACTCTATACCATCAACGTATTTGTATCCCGTGGTGGCAGATGATCTTGGCCAGCAGTTTCATGCAGATATTAAAAAGGAGCAGAGAGCACTGAGACCTGTGGTAAATAGGTCATAAAACCCGAAACTGTGCCACCCATCCTCAATTAAATAATTTTAATTTTTAATTTTAATAATTTTAATAATTATTTTAATTATTTTAATTAGCAATTTTATGATGTTTGTGTATCTATATTTTTCTTGACTGTACACCGCCTTGAGTCTTACGGGAGAAAGGCGGTATAGAAATATAATAAATAAATAAATAAATAAATTCCCTAAATTGGCCCAAAAAGTTACCATGGTCAACGGTACCGAAAGCTTCTGAGAAGTCAAGAAGACCAAGGATGGATGCATCACCTCCATCTTTCTCCCACCAGAAATCATCCAGGAATGCGACCAATGCTGATTGGTCTATATTTTCTATATAATATATCATTTCATATGTCATGTTCATAACATCCAAAGAATGTCCTTTCACTTATAGAAACACACTCAGATATACAGACAAGGAAATATTATTTTCTCTTTCAGGTCCACAAGGTTTCAACGGTCCTCCTGGACTACAAGGAGATAAAGGTAAATAATGTTGTATAAATGCAATTGAAATGCCCTTCTTATCACCTATACCCTGACACAAACATTCTCCAACACTATAACCCTATACTTACCAGAAGTCAATTTCCTTATATTCAGTCGCATTTATTCTTACATACTGTAGATGTGTTCAGGAGCACAATAGTCTCACCCACTTCCTGGAAGTAAATGTTGCTGAATTTAACAAAGGTTACTTTTGAGTGAAAATCCATGGGATTGTACTTCACAGCAAAGTATGCTTACTAGGCAATAAGACACGCAGAGGCCAATAGGACTTACACCTGAGTAAATACTAAAACAAGAGCGACTAAAGTTTTTTCCTAGAAATAATTTGACATAATATAGAGAAGTCTTCACTGAAATTGCTAGATGTAACTACATTGTTGTTCCTAAAAAAGGAAGTGACTACTGCTCACTTATTTGGCACCAGATTGTATATTTTAAAAGTGTAATTTGCAGACTTTCTTCCCCTTTTTCTCCTCTTTCATTGATCAGCTCTTTCTACCTCATGAGCAATTATCAATTTATGAAGGGATTTTGACCTTCCTCCACATTAGTCAATGGACGGGGTTTCTCCCAAATGGTAAAAATGAATTTTCAGTCTCTGTTTAGCCTTCTAAACACCGTTCCATGTTATAGATTTGCAGGCAAAAACTGTTCTTACTGACATCAGCAAGAAACGATACATGGTGATGTGAATCAGCAAAAGATGAGGCAGGATATGGTGGCCATTCTCTGCATTTCCTTTTGATACAAAGCTGCTTACAGCAGGAGGTTGACAGTAAGAGCAGATTTTGCTTGCAAATCTATAATGTGGAACCAAAGGGGCAAATCTATAGAGCAAAATCATCTACGGTAGTCTGGCATAACCTAGTACAGGTAGTCCTTGACTTACGATCGCTCACTTAGCAACTGTTTGAAGTTACAACGGACCCACCAGAGCTACTTACAGCCTAGGTTTCAAAGTTCTGATGACTGCCCTCTTTTGGTCATGTGATTGCATTTGGGGTGCTTGGCAAGTGGCCTGCATTTATGACCATTTCCAGTTTCCTGCATGTGACTGGGATTTATTACATTTGTTTTTGGCCAGAAACCAGCATTTACTTATGATGTCCAGGTATAATGGGTTCACTTAACAATTGCCACATTCATTTAATGACTGTGGCACTCATTTAATGACCGTGGTGTTTGCTTAACCAAAAAACTGTTGTAAAATTGGGCAAGGTCCCTTGATGACTTGCTTGATGACCACCAGGTTCAATTGCACTCATAAATCAAGGACTACCTATAGTCTATGTACCTTCTGATCGACAACTTCCAGAAGCCACAGTTTACATGACTAATGTTGGCCTGCTTTTTAGACACAGTGGTTATGAAGTCTAGGAGTTGTAGTTCAAAATGTTTTGACAGCACATGATCAGGACCACTGTTCTATTACTAAGTAATATTTTGTTATCAAATTAAAAGGATGATTCTTAGCACACCTTTCTTTGTACACAATGTGCAACTATTCCTTCACATTTGGTATGCTATCACACCCTTTGATTCACTTAACAGGTGCTACTGGAAATGTGGGTCGACCAGGAGCTCTTGGCCCAAAGGGTGAAAAAGGGGAGACAGGAGCAGCAAGTCAAGTTCCAGGTAAGCAAATACCATGGTTTTTTTTTTAAAAAAATATATTATTGAAGTCAATATTCCTCTGGTCTCCAGTTCAATTAATAACCAGGGCCTGGTGGCTCAGCAGACTAATAGCATTGTGATTAACACCAGCTGTCTGCAATTACTGTAAGTTCGAATCTCACCGGGCTCAAGGTTGACTCAGCCTTCCATCCTTTCTAAGGTAGGTAAATTGAGGACCCAGTTTGTGGGGGCAATAAGCTGACTTTGTATAAAATATACAAAAGTATGAAGGCTATTGCTTAATGCATTGTAAGCCACCCTGAGTCTTCAGAATTAAAAAAAAAATTCATACATAAAAATTCTTTTTTTCTGAATGCCAATTATATAGCGGTTTTAAATTTGTAAGTCTTTAAAAAAAGTCCTTGTATCAAAGAAACAAAGTAAAACTCACCAGATGTCAAATTAAACTTGCCATTTTGAAAGTCTCTAATATCCATGGTATAGTTAAGTAGATCATCTCCAAATGTGATTACAATGTGAGCGTAGCTAGCTTAACATTCTTTTTAAAGGCACTGTTACAATTGAGAGCAAGAAGTTATCTCCTTGTTTCAGGGCACTCAATCCAATAGGGGCATTACAATCCCCTTGTAAGGAGCTGCCATTCAGAGCTTGTGGACAATCTCCTGTTCTTCTCTTCTCCAGAGAGTTTCCAAAGGACTGGTCTACTTGCCAATTCTTCATGGCCGTCCTAGTCTCTGCTGTTCATAGAGACATATTTAGTCAACCATGACTCACCTGACAGCTGAAAGAACTGCAAATAGGATGCTGAAACATTAGCTTCCAAAGACTTTCTAACCTGTAGTTCTTCTTTCTTCTCTCAGGCCCACGAGGACAAAAAGGTGATCAAGGTCAAAAAGGTAGTAAGGGAGATACAGGTAAATTCCAAAATCAATATCAATATTTTGCACATATATATAATCAAATGCATATGAACGTTATGTTTTGTTTTGGCAGAATATGGATTTATCATGTTTAATTATTATAGGCAAGTATAGCCCAAAGTGCACTCTTGATAACTCTCAACCCACTCTCCATAAATTCCTTTCTATTAAAGGTACTGGATTACCCCGTATGCCCTGTTTGGTTGCTCTTTAATGGAAAGCCACTGTAAAGATTCTATAATGCTGCTTCTCCAATTTTGTTGTTTCATACATGGGGGAAAATTAGCCTATTATGGTAGTAGCAAAGAAAGGAATTGCAAACAAAAATCCATTCCAGGACCACACATATTCAAGGGGTCCATGAAGTGAAATAAATATTTTCTCTGTTTTAATTTCTAATAAATATTGATAGGCATAACCCACACAAACCAAACTTTTCAGGGTCCTCAATCATTTTTTTTAAAAAAAATTAAATATATATAAATATAAATTTGGTATAAAATAGTTTATCATGAATGCGACTGCTTGAGGGCTCTTGGATTGGAGCTGAAAGGCGAAAGGGATGCAATATGCTCCCTCCCATATGCTGGGGTAGACCAGGTGTCTTGATAGAAAAACACTTAAACTTTCCCTTGGCTCAAACTGATGAAGGGAGAAGAATTTGTGGCTCAGAGATTAATACAACTGCCTAACATGCAGGCAGCCCAAGTTTGAATCCAAGTAAGGGTATGGCTAGCAAGTAGGATAGATAATATCTTTCTGGTGCATGTTGTATTTGTTTTATTCATTTATAACTCCATTGTGTACTGTTTCTACTTTCATTTATGATTTTTTTAAAAAAACACACACACAAATTATCTGGATGTTTCATTAACACTTGTTTTGTTAATTCTCTTAAACTAGGATCACCAGGAGCACAAGGTTCTAAAGGTGAAAAGGGCATCTCAGGTAAATTATTCCCAACAAACAATTTGTAAAACTTTTTTGAACACGTGAAGCTTCATATGAGCTGGGTTTTTTTATCTAGCATCAGAGCAAAACCATAGCAAAAGCACAATTTTAAAAAAAAAAAAGCACATTCAGCTATGCCTGTTCCAGAAGTAGGCAAAACAAAGATAATATCCTTTGTATCAGGATTTATAGATAAGTAATATGGTGCAGTCCTTTTGTTAGAAAAGCTATTTGTGCTTATTATCCTTTGTATTCCTACATTTTAATCCAGGGGTTGTCTTCAGGACCTAACTAATTGTTAGTGTTATGTTATTCTTTGCCAGGAGTGGCTTATCCATTCAGGTGAACCTGGGGCATCAGGTTTAATAGAGAAGCCAATATTAAGAAACAGAATCAAAATTTACAAACACCAAAATAAATTTATGGAGCATCAGTTGCAGGATTTGCCGAGAATGCTGTATTAAAAATCCCCCATTTTCCTCTAAGAGAGTTTATACTGAACCCTCCTTTAGATGTGGAAAATGTATAGCTGAAATAGAAAGGTTCTTTTTCAATGGATACTTGGCGCAATCAAACCCTTAATGCTTTTGCCATTGTCTTTTGAAATTGCATACGCGAACAACCACAGGATTCGGTGCTTTCCTGAGACTCGTAGGACAAGACAACCGTGGCCGTGTGGAGATTCTGCACAACGGGCAATGGGGCACCATCTGTGATGATCATTGGGATGTGAATGATGGCCATGTGGTTTGCCGTATGCTGGGGTTCAGTCAAGCTGTTAATACCTTCACTGCACCTGCAGGTAATCTACTTCACAACTTCCATCAAATCAGAAAACAAGAGATTTTGTCTTCCTTCCTTCCTTCCTTCCTTCCTTCCTTCCTTCCTTCCTTCCTTCTTTCCTTCCTTCCTTCCTTCCTTCCTTCCTTCCCTCCCTCCTGAAACATGGCAAGGGAGCATCTTTGCTCTGGCCCTTTGTTCTAGAGAGGAATTTTAGTCATCTGAGAGTACAGCAAAAGGGAATATGGTTCCCTCAACAATCCCTTATATTTGTACGATCAGGTCACACAGCACAATGACGTCAACAGAATTTGTTTTCTCACCTTGGAAACAATTTATATATTAACTCATTATATCTCTGCTTATGTATTTTGGCTCATCAGGATCTGGACAAATCTGGCTGGATGACGTGCAATGTTCAGGAAATGAACTCTCCATTTATCTGTGCAGTAAACGTGAATGGGGTGAAAACAACTGCAGTCATAGTGAAGATGCTGGGGTTGAGTGTGCTTAAGGCAGTTTTGCAGCACAACCTGTAAAATAGTATTGAAATAAGCATCTCAGTCTCATCATGTGGTGTGTATCTTACTGATCAGTTACCTAACGCTCATTGTCTTCTGTTGCATCAATGTATTTTTAGGTTCTTCTTTGATCAGAGCCAATTTTAAGGATGTACTTGATGTATCTAGGCTCATAGGTACACTGAGGAATGTTTTTATGTAAAAATCCCATAAATTGTATCTCCATTCACCTGGATGAAGGATCTATTGATACAATTGGACTTCCTGATAAGAAGCACATGTGGAAGATACATACCACAACACAATGAATATCTGTCAAGTTAGATTTCATCTTCAATAAAGTACAATGGCTTTGCTAGGTTCTTCTGTAGATAAAACAACTAAACTTCACATCATTGTTTTATAAAGCAGCTGGGATTCCAGGAAACGTTCACAGCCTTTTTCACCTGAAATAAAACTTTACAAAAAAGAATGACCATGTTTCTTTAGCCTGTATCTTACTTTCACCCTCTTCCAGGGATGCCTTTTCTTGAAATTCCACATCAGGGTAACATCATGTTGAATCTTGATTCCGAACCTGTGCATTGCTCCAGAGAACTCAAATGCACTGCTCTCCTATTGTGAGCCTTTGTCTTCCTTCAAGGCATAGCCCTTTGGGTGTCTGAAGCCGAGTCTAAGATATTAGCAATAGCACTTAGACTTATATACCACTTCATAGTGCTTTACAGCCCTCTCTAAGCGGTTTATAGAGTCAGCAATTGCCCCCCAACAATCTGGGTCCTCATTTTACTGACCTTGGAAGGATGGAAGGCTGAGTCAACCTTGAGCCGCTCAGGATTGAACTCCTGGAGTGAGCAGTGAGTTAGCCTGCAGTACTGAATTCTAATCACTGCACCACCATGGCTCTTCGGCAATTCCCCAGGGCCAACTCGCCCAGCCAACTTGTGCAGTCCACTTGCTGCGGGACAACTCACTACAGCCAACTCGCCATGGAACTACTAGCTGCAGGACAGGAGGTACACTAATATCAAAATGATGGCATAGAATCATTAGAGAAAGGATGCAAAGGGAGGGACAGAATGAAATGTGAATGACAAAAATTAAACTAATGTTTTTATTTATTTTAAATGATTAAATTGAATGATTGAATTGTCCCATGGCGAGCTGTCCTGTGTGGAAGTTGGCCATGGCAAGTTGTCCCATTCCCACCTGGAGCAATCCCGCAGTCTCAGTGCTAGGATCCAGCCTGGTGCCCCCACAAGAAGAACCATCCCTCTCTTTCATTTTGTGATGGTATTCTGATAATATGCAACAAGAGAAATTCTCACTTTACATACCTAAATCAATTTTTTGTTGTAGAAGAGCAGATCTGTTGCAGGAGATCAGGAATGTATGCCTTAAAATACAGAGTTCTATCTTTTCAGGGAATACCTGTGAAAGAGATTATCTTCTGGGTGAATTATGTGTTCGTATAAGAAGGCACAAAACCATGAATGACTTCGATGAGATCTTAGATGAGAATTCTAGGAGGTTTACTGCTTCTTGTTTCTTTTTTTTTTCCCCTTGGCATTTCCGTAATAAAAGTCTTGGACGATGACAGGCAGGGATATCCAAATTGGCATACATCAGTTTCTGAGATCTGCTCAGCCAGAAATGAAGAAAAAAGAAGAATGGGTTGTATTAAAGGAGCAAGAGTGATGTATTTTCAAGGAATTGTTTTATGTAGCATTTTATTAGTTCTTCTAAAATATGTCATTTTAGCCAGTCTTGGCAAATGTTGATCTGAAGACATATTGGCAGGATGAAATGTTGCAAATGTTGTCTAGAGTTTATTATTGGCTCATAAAATTCAGCATAAGCTGAATGCACACAAACACAGACGGAAGGAAAGAGAGAAATGCCACTGTGCTTCATATAGCTGAACAAGAAAAGAAGCCAGCGCCGAGAAAGGGCTTATCTTGTATTGGCAGCAATCCTCTGGACAATGCTCTACATCAGGGATGGGCAAATGTGGCCCATTTACAACCTGTGGACTTCAACTTGAAGTCCAGTTGAAGTCCATAGGTTTTAAAAGGGCCACAATTGCCCACCCCTGCTCTACATGGATTGGCCCACCTCATCTTACCTTCATATTGTTACCTCATCTTTTCAGCCATACAAGAGGAGCAAGGCATTATGGTCATTTTTCACACTTACAACCATTGCAACATCCTCAAAGTCACCTGATCAAAATTTGGATGCTTGGCAACTGGTATGTATTTATGACGGGTGCAGGGTCCCGGGGTCATGTGGTCCTCTTTTGTGACCTTCTGACAAGCAAAGTTAATGGGGAAGCCACATTCACTTAACAACCAACTTAACAACAGTAGTGATTCACTTAACAAACTATGGCAGGAAAGGTTGTAAAATGGGGCCAAACTTACTTAACAGCTGTCTTGCTTAGCAATGGAAATTTTGGTTGTAAATTGAAGACTACCTGTAACACAAATCCAGACCCTTTGCTTTATACAGGTAGTCCTCAACCTACAACCACAATTCAGCCCAAAATGTCTGTTGCCAAGTGAAACATTGGTTAAGTGAATTTTGCCCCACTTTATGGCTTTTCTTGCAATAGTTGTTAAGTCAATCACTGCAGTTGTCAAGTTAGTAACACGCAGGAGTGGGTTCTAAAATTTTTTACTACCGGTTCTGTGGGCATGGCTTATTTTGCAGGCGTGGTTTGATGGTCATGTGACAATTCTTTAGGATTTAGCAGAGGTACTGGTCTACCAGGCTTTTAACTGCTTGCAGAGCTGTACCGGTCTACTCATTTGTTTTTGGAGGCACCAAATCATATCATCACCGCTACCGGTTTGGCCGAACCGGGCCAAACCGGGAGGAACCCACCACTGGTAACATGGTTGTTAAATGAACCTGGCTTCCTCATTGACTTTGCTTGTCAGAAGTTTGCAAAAGGGGATCACATGACTCCAGGACACTGCAATAGTCATAAAAATGAGTCAGTTGCCAAAGTATCTGAATTTTGATCACATGGCCATGGGTATGTGATGTGCAATGATCATAAGTGTGAAAAATGGTCATAAGTCACTTTTTTCAGCGCCGTTGTAACTTCGAATGGCTACTAAATGAACTGATTACTTCTACAATTTTGTTGCGGCAAGGATCTAATTATTGTCTTGAAGACTAGCATTTTAGGATTCTATTAGAAGCCTCATACACCTGATCAGTTTTAATTTTACATTGCCTCAAGGCTGCACAATGTAAAGCAGCAGCAGTCTTTATATTTTGCCAAACTGTAATTTCCTCCAATATTAGCCAGCCTGGCCAATTGCAAGAAATTCTGGGAAACAGGAGTTCAACATTCTGACCCCTATAAATTCCCCAGTTCAGTCATCTGAACATATAATTAACAATCCCCTCATCATTGAGAAATAGTGGTTAAAAAAAAAAAAAAAGCTTACCAGTACCAAAATAATTACCGTAAATTATCTTTTCTTGTCAATTAATGCTAATTACATTAATTGCTGAGGTAGGAACCAGGAGGCAATGAGTTCGGATCCCATCTTAGGCACCAAAGAAATTGGCTGGGTGACTTTGGGCCAGTCACTCTCTCTCAGCTCAATCCACCTCACAGGATTGTTGTTGTGAGGAAAATAGGAGGAAGAAAGAGTATTATGTATGCTTGCCACCTTAAGCCATTTATAAATAATAATAAAGGTGGGATAAAAAAAACCAAATAAATAGTTGGGAAGCGAGCAGGAGACATATTGGAGACATATTCTGAAATCCATTGTTGAAGGGGACACTTCCGACAACATGAGCATCCTCTGTAGTTTTTGTCTCAAAATATGTTCTTTAATATTTAAATTCACCACCTCAAATCTGTTCCTGTAGATGTGTGTGTGTGGATATAAAGAACCCTACAATAACATCATAATAAAAAATGGAAAACTCTTTTCTCTTTTATCAGATATTCTAACAAATTGTTCCATCTCAGCACTAGGTGGAGCTCTAGACCCTCATCCAGATTCATATACCCATATTTTTAGGAATATAAGACGCACTTGTTTCCCTCCTAAAAGAGGCTGAAAATTTGGGTGCGTCTTATACTCCGAATGTAGCTTTTTCGAAGCTTTTTTTCAGCCCTAACGAGGTGCTAGCAATTTTCAGGGCTTTGCCTGCTCCGTCCAACTCTCAGCTGTTCTTTAGAAGCTTTTTTTCAGTGAAGCTTTTGCCTGCTCCCTCCTACTCTCAGCTGTGAAGTGTTTTTTCAGTCCTAAGGAGGCGCTAGTGAGTGAAGCGATCTTCGTGGTTTGCCTGCTTTTCTCATTGGTTCTCTCTCCAAAGATCAGTTGTGCTTTAGAAGCTGTTTTTTATCCCCAAGCAGGGGATAAAAACCAGCAAACTAATGTTATGAAGCTGACCAGACTAAGGACCCTAGCCTGGTAGGCAGATTTTTTTCACCCCCTATTTTCTTCTCCAAAAACTAAGCTGCGTCTTATACTCCAAAAAATACGGTAGTCTAGGAAGTTCTTCAGCAACTCTAACTGTGGCAGTGACAATGTCCAGATATAAAAACTGGCTCACAAGCAAATGATTTCTCAGATTCATGCAATTTACACAGTCCAGTTATTTTAGCTACCCTGAGATTTTTATAGACCAAGATCTGTGAGTGCTTCACTTGTTTCCATCCTCAGAATTTTCCAGCCCTGTTTTTCCAACTACAGTATCATCTATTCCAGAGAGATGCTTCATCACAAGACTCATACTCATCTCAAATACTTTGGCAGCTCACTCCATATTCCCTTGCTTGCACCTCCGATATGTGCCTGCCTCCTTGCAAGCTTCACCATCTTGAGTTACTTATAAAGTAATAAAAACAGATTTTAAAAAATCTAATGAATGAATGAATACATGAACTTGACCCTGCTGAGTAGATGAGGTAAAATGTCTCCCTCCTCCTAACTGTGGTCCTTTACTGATGTTCTGTAGGGTATTGGAAGGACCCAAGGACACCCTCATGCAAAATGGACAGATTCTGCAGAAAGAAGCCTGTGCAATAATAACACTGTACAATAGTACAGTGAGAAGAATTCTGAAGGCTCCCAAGTCCATGGTTTAACTCCTAAGGTCTCTGAACTATAGGAGAATGTGGGGAAAAGATCCAATATTGTGTCCAGGATGCCCTAGGGGTAAATTTCTCTCATATTTCATCCAACTAGCCCTCTCTGAACTGACCAATTAAGCCAAGCATTCTTGCCCACTACAACTAAAACAGCATATTCAACATTAAAAGCTTTATGCTGCTGGAGATGCAGAAGTAGGCATATCCTACAGTCAATATAGTTATCCAAATCTGCATTGTTCCTGATGTCACGCCACTACAAATCAAGAACAGTGGTGGGATCCAAATTTTTTTATTACCAGTTCTGTGGGCGTGGCTTGGTGAGTGTGGCAGGGGAAGGATACTGT